GAAGATGTTGAAATTTCCTCTCTATTCCTAGATCTTATTGGTAATTTACAAAAACTTCAATTTCTCACGTTATCATATATTTCTGACATAGATGATGATGATGAACAGAAAAAACGAGTTGTTCAGTTTGCAGAGATATTGCCATTAACATTGCAATATCTTGACTTAACGTATTCTCTTTTAGATTTATATATTGATATTTTGCTCAAAAATTGCAATGCTCCCTTAAAAAATCTAATAATTAGTCACTTAGATGATGAGGAAAAAGCTAAAGCGTTAATCAATTTCTGCAAACGAAATAAGTCCTTGAATTATGTGGGTGTAAAAAGATATTTAGATTTGGATGATAATATTAAAAAAGATGTGGATGTATATATTACATTGGTACCATGTGAACGCATTGTTATTAATTGTTAAATTCCTTTATAGATAATATTTTATTATCTAATTTTTAAGCAAGTTAGTATCATTTATTAATTTTAGAATTCGTGATATTTTTAATACACACATAAATAAAATAGTTCAATAAATTTTGTAATATGATGGTTAAATTTTTCAGCGTTTATCTAAAAATTTATTGGTATTTTAATAAATGAAAATCTAAGCTCTAGTGATAGTATTATAGTATTATACGGTCAGACCTCTCTAAATACAACCCTTCTAAACGCAATACCTCCGCAAATGCAACTTTTAACTCTGCGAAATTTTAACATGTAAAACAATACCTCAACATTAAATGTTAATCTTGAAGAGCTATTATAATGGTTTATAATAAACTTTTCTTATTCTAATACTGATACTGCTCAATTCACGATAGTCATTTTTTTTACCTAAGGTTCATTTATCCGACATCACGCGGGATTAAGGTAGCATTTATTAATTGCAGATATACGTAAATTGTTAGTAAATTGTCACTTGGTGTGATTGCCGATGATGTAAGCGGATCCTTCTAATGAACAGCCCTACAATAAATTACCTAAACGTTTCATTTTTTTATGAAAAAATATTAAAAATTAAAATTTACGTTTATATAAAAATTTTTATTTGAATTAGTATCTTTTTCTTTTATTTTTACTTAATTAAAAAATAATGGCCTTGATTTTTTAAACTAATCTTCTAATTGAGAAGTTCGCCCCCAAAAATTTAAATAAAATGTATATTTTTATAAATATATGAAGATTTGCCAATTCACTTTGACCGAAGTTGCAAAAAATAACAGTATTATACTACTCAGGTGCATTGTGTATCTACAAATTAGTTCATAAAATTCAACTAGGCAATTGTGTTCCTAAGTTATTATTGTTTGATTAATTAAATGAACTGTTCGGAAGATTTTAAAGGTATGAGTAACCCAATCTTTAAAATTTGAGTTACATTAAAGGCAATGTATGGTTTAACTATTCAATAAAAAGATTTGTGATCTAAAATTATATCTTCATAATTCCATAATTATAGTTATTGGATGTGAAACAGACAATAATGATTAGTTATTATTGAAGAAGAAAAATATATATTTCCTTATAAATTATTTGCTTATTTATATCAGTGTCACATTATTAAGATACAAAATCATCATTGTACAATAAGTTTAATAACTAATTACATTAAAAACCGACCTAAATTATTAATCAATTGGTGGATATTGAAAATAATAATATCAAAGAATCGGCAAATTTTGTGATGGGAAAATTTAATATTGAATATTAAAAGCGTGTACGTGATTTCTATGATAAAAAGACAATTTAAATTAGCTCCAAATATATATACATATATATATATATGATTTATCATGTACGTATAAGTATCAGATATATAATAAAATATCAATTTTTTTGTAATAAAAATACGGTGGTATTCGCAATATTAAATTTATCACATTGCTAGACTAGCCCCTAAAGTGACTTTTTTATAATTGACTTATTTTTTATTATTTCTGATTTTAATTTCGACACGTGTTTAATGAATTTGATAATTATGGTCTGCCTTTGAAGCCTTTTTGTACAAAGTTAATGCTTTTTTCAAATTTATTTCAGTTCCTATACCGTATTTTTAACAATTTCCAAGCTCATATTGTGAAGCAGATAATCTCTATCTTGCCGCTTTTTCAAATAATTTAATCCTTCAATTTTACTAGTACCTGTTCCTTGACCTTTTTGGTAACATAATCCTAAGGTATTCAGCGCATTGATATTTCCATTTTCAATTGCTTTCTTGAGATAATAAAATGCATTATTACGTCTTCTAAGTTTATAGTATACTCTCCAAGCATACGTTCCGCTACTATTCAATTGCCTCTTTCTAATTCATATTGTTGTTCCAACCCTCTGCATAACACGTTCCAACAAAATATTGTGCAATAGAATCTCCTTTTTTTGCCGCATCGACGAATAAATTAAGAGTTGCTAAGTTATTTTCATCTGTGCCAATTTTCCAATGATAAAACAATCAAAGTAGGCAAACATATTTTGAATGATTGTTATTTGTCAATAACCATTGAAAACTTCTTTATTGGTTTTTTCACTTTAAGATATTAAGTTGGTAATTATATACCAACTGATCTACCTTCGTTAGATAGTTAACTAAAGTCGAATACAGATTATTTACAAAGAGAGTCATTTCATCCGCCATAGCATTTAATTTAATATTATTGTCTTTAATGCTTCCGAAGGTGTTCTTAATAAATTCTTCAAATTCTGATATATCAGATAAATCAAAACTATCATTGTCTGTGATGTCTTGAACAATAAAATCTTCTAATACCAAAGCTACTTCTTCGATGGATGGTCGATCATCTGGCATATTCTGCCAGCACCCTAATAAGTCAAATATTTATGATTTAAAGGTTTAAAAATATAAAAATAAATTATAATTAAACTTAATTTTATAAATAACAACATATTCATGGTGTTGGGTTTTCTCGTAGCCCGTTTGTTATTCTATCTAGTAGAGTTGTTAGATCTACGTTTTAAAGTTATCTTTCATTTGATATTTACCAAAGAATAACTCCGATACTATAAATATCCGATTCTTATTTTTTCTATATCTGCAAATATTTACATTTTGACTTGTTTTTGTTATAAAACATTGAGGATCAATATGATGTATTGGTTTGAGACATTGAAGCTTCTTTGACACGTTGTGATAATCCAAAGTCAGCTAATTTTAAAGTTTCTTGGTGAATAAGTATATAATTAAGATGCTTTAATATTTAAATAAAAATTAATCAAAATTTACTAGGATTATACAGTAATTACACGAAGCATTTTTAAAATTTACCAGATCACAATGAATAATAATATGAGCATGCAGACATTTAACGGCTTCTACGAGTTGAATTGCATATTTGATTTTTAACGCCCATTCGATTTTTGCCGAATTTTTGGTGCAAATATTCTCGCAAAGACCATTATCCTCGTACTCAAGAATAAGTACATATTTGACTAAATTTGCATCTATTTGATCAATTTTGTATGTAATACCACAAATTTTAATAATCTACTCATGAGATTCTACGAAAAGCATATGCTCTATCTGAATATTATCTGTCACAATTGCACATTTTAGCATGTAAAATAAATGTTTACCTAATGACCTGCATAAAATATTACTTACCTCAATAGAATTTCTTTATAGTATGGTTATTTTTTTCAATTATTTTCATTGCACATAGATACTTCGTACTTTTAAATCTTGCTCTATAAACTTGACTAAAAGCACCACTATTGATAAATTTATAATCTTCAAATCCATCCATCTTATGCTCATTAATTCTCCCTTCGATGATATTACATTCAATCCATTTGATAGTCAATTAAAGAAAGTCGCATATTTTTTAATTCTTCAAGAACTTGATTAATCTTTCAGGTCTTTGGTCCTAACAACGTCGATAAAGAACATCTGGTGTGTTCTCTACGGGAGTTTCCCTTTTTCCTTTGAATAGATGAATCCCTGTTTTCAAAGTAATCGAAAGGTGGCCTACCACTAGAAATCTCCCAAAAGATTACTCCGAGACTATAGATATCAGATTTCTTGACACATTTATATTCATGATCTTCAAAGCACTGAGGCTCTAAATATGTGTACATTTTACTAGCTTTAAACATGTTATTTCTTTCATGTGTTTAGACATTCCAAAATCTGCAATTAATTCAATTATGACTAACTAAAATATTTTTTGAATGCTAACGGAAAAAAAAAAAGTTGTTTAATATACATTAATTAATTAAAAATAATGATATATATATATATATAAGTTCTTACAAGATCTCTATGAAAAATTTTGTTATCATGTAAAAATGATATCCCTTTAGCTATTTCATGTGCAAATGTAGTTTATCAGACCATTTAATTTCGAAGAGTCACTTTTTAAGTATTCGTATAAATTTCCGTTTGTAGCATGTTGTAGAATCAAGTTATATTGATTCTTTAAGGGATCTGTTTAAATAAGAAATTAGTACGTTAATTATAAAGATCACATTGTTTTCCAGAGATAGGGGACATTAATTCTTGAACATTTTGTTTTACTAAATATATCTTTACTAGCAATATCTTTTGATGTAGTGATCCATTCTTGTTTATTTGGTACCATTCAAACCATCTCAATGAGAGAATTCGAATGATATTAAAATCGTCAAAATTGGATCACTATATCACTAGTAGTGATCAGTAGAACGTCTCAATGATTTCCATAACCAGTTACGACGTAAGCTTTAGTTAGTTATGGCTTATGCCGTAACATCATTGAGACGATTCTATTGTATCACTAATCACCGATCAAATTTTAACTATATAGTAAAGAACCAGTAAAACAGAGTGTTCGTGAATTAATGTCCTCTCTGTAAGTTTTATATGTTTAATTACCATTAGTGACTCCATAAAATTTGGATAATATTTAGATGTTTATATTTATCAACAGCAGCTAATTTCCGAAGCTATATATCAAGGGAATTAGATAATATCAGACTATACTCGGAAATTTAATTTAAAAAATTATCTCATTAATAAAGAATTTAATCGCATCAGTAATAATAATTCTATTATTAATAGTAGTTTCAATGGGAGTGGTTTTATTCGTGACAGTGTTACACAAACAAATATTGCTTTAAAAAATTTGATATTGTACGTATGTGCGAGATTAAGGCAACACGTAACAAGTAAGACATATGATACATTCGTACGTATGAATGAAATTAAAACAGATAATATAATTCTGGGTTTGTCCAGTTTAACGTTTTGATTGGTCGCTTCAAAACCATGTGTTTAAAATAGGCATGGCTTTGAACGCTTTTTGATTGGTCGTATCCAAAACCTACTACAATACGTATCTAATTCAAAGTTCGTCAGTCCATTGTAGTGCCAAGAATTAGGAGAGCAATAAATGAAGCTTTATGGGACTGCATAAATCATCTGTTATGCGGGATGAATTTTTTATTAAAGAATTCGGCTTAATGATAGTTGGACATTAAGGAAAGTATAATCATTATGTTTTTCGGTTTATACGTGTTATTCTTCTAACCTATGATTCTACAATTTATCCTTCGTCTACTCTTTTCCAGTAATTCCTACACCTTTTCTACTATTATTTCTCGCACTTTATTAACCAAACATTATTAGGAAATTGATATTTCCACACTCTTTTGATAATGCCACTAGAGATGGGTTTCATGCGTGCGCATGAAACCTCAATCAATCCCATCAAGATTTTATATAGAAAAATTAAAATATAAACTAGTCGCTTGAGTTGCTCAAAGGGAGTTTGAAATGAGAGTGTGTATTGTATTATTAAATAAATCCTTTCTTCTTTAGGAAAATAATGAGAGATTTGCATCGGGATAGGACAAATATTTATGCATTTCTGATTGGTATATATGATTTTGCTTATCTTTAAAGTGTACCATGTAATTTGTATCTATCACTGTAACGATAACGAGATTAGCAACCTAAGTTTAGAGCAAAGGTTCGTGAAAGAGTAAGTGAGCATATGCAAGATCTTATTTTGATATACAAAGAAAAAAAAATTTGAAAATTGCATAGGTAAATGTTTACTTTTACAGTCAACCCTCTCAGAATCGGTATGCATGGTAGACAGGTTTTGTATCAGATTTGAGAGGTTATCGGATTTGTAAACAGATTTATATAACTGGAATGATAATTGTGTATCAGATTTGACAGGTTATCAGTTTTGAAAGGATCAGTTTTGAGAGGGTCGACTGTATTAGATAAATTTATTATGAAATAAGAACTTTTTTTTTATTTCAATTTTACTGTGATCATAAAATGACTGACGATCACATGGAAATCTTCAAAATTCCCAAATTTAAGACTTTTTTTGCAAATAAATCTAAATTTCTTGCTAACAAATAAAAATTTCCAAAATTTCTCTTCTATTTTTGCTTTTTTAGCATTTTATCAACCAATATACAAGAGCTGGTTGTTTGTACTGTTAAATAATATGGGAAATTTCAAGCCTTTTCTTGTATCTTATTTTTAATTTTTTTTTAAACTTTTAATAAAGATATCTTGACAACCACCAAGTCAAATTTAATGAACCTTTCTATTTAAATTCTACAAACCAGTAGAATTTAAATTAAGAAAAATTTATTAAATTTGGCTTGGTGGCTGTCAAGATATTTTCTTTCAAAGTTTTATAAAAAATTGCGTAGAATTTTCTCATAATTTAAATGAAGATACCTCAACAACCACAAAGTCAAATTCAATGAAGTTTTTTTTCTTTGAATTTTATGAATCTGTAGAATTCAAATAAAAAAATGCTTATCAAATTTGGATTGATAGTTACCAAGATATCTTCAATCAAAGTTTTAAAAAATTCAATGTCTATCAAAAGCGATAAATTTCTCAACTTTGAATAAAAATATCTCATAAATATTAACCTAAATTAAATAACCATTTTTTATTTGAATTTTACGAACATAAAAAGGAAAAATTTATCAAAATTGAGATGATGGTTGTCAAGATATATTCGTTAAAAGTTCAAGAAAAATTCTGTTGAATTTTTTTTAACTTTGAGCGAAGGTTTCTTGACAACCACAAGGTCAAATTTAATGAACTTTTTTTATTTAAATTCCACGAATCTGTAGAATGCAAATAACAAAAAATTCATTAAAATTTGCCTGGTGGGTGTTGAGATATGATTATTAAATTGCCCGATTTTAAGATTTCCAGATTCTCAGTGATGTGTGATCTACGAAATTTGATGATCACAGTAAGGCTACACAAACTTATACTATTGGTTTTCATATCCCGGCCAGGTCGGTGAGGTGGGGTTTTAAAATTTTAATTTTTTTAATATATCAGCCAATAGAAATTCTCCATTCATAATCATGCGAACAGAACGATTGGATGGCACATAGCTGCCTTGATACTTACATATTAAGCAGCTATTTTATATCTATATAGAACCCAGACATCTCTAATATAAATTTAAAGTTAAAATCAGCTTAATTTGCTAAAAATTCAATTATACTATTTTCAAACAATCCCTTTTTAATCAACAAATCCGCTTTTCCAACAAACTCACTTCTCCAATATATCTACCTCTCTAAATTATCTATTTCACCACAATCACTATCCTAATAAAACTATTACTCTAATTGTGTGATTAAAAGTATACTGGGTGAGTGAAAGTTCCTAAACAGGAACCTTTTACTAGTGTTCCTATGAACCGAACTGAAACTGAACTTTGGTCAACTTCAGGTTCAGGTTCAGTTCAATCAGGTTCAATATTGAACTTTCAAGTGAGGTTCATGTTCAGTTCAGTTCAGTATTGAACTTTTAAGTCAAGTTCATGTTCAGTTCATGTTCAGTTCAAAGTTCATGAACATGTTCAAAGTTCAATGACAAAATATAGTAAAATTTTCGAATTTGAAATTTTTTAACTAGAACTTTGTCTTTGCAATTATATGTTTTCTTCTTTATATAAATAAAGAAGAAAGCATATAGTCATAAAGACTAAAATACTTATATCTCGTGATCTACTGGGTCAAAGTTAACGATTTAACCACCATTTTGATAGCAAGATGCTCCTTTACAACATTAGTTAGAAGCTAAAAAGAGATTTACTAAGCAAACATTTAAAAATCACAATATTTTTATAATTTTATTAATAAAATTATAGAAATATTGTGATTTTTAAACCTTTACTTGTAAATCTCCTTTTAGCTTCTAATCAAAGTTGTATAATATTGTCTTACAATCAAAATGGTGGTTAAAACATTAAAATTGGCCCAGTAGATCACGAGATATAAGAATTTTAGTCTTCACGACTATATGCTTTCTTCTTTATTTATATAAAAAAAATATATAATCGCAAAGACAAAAATACTTATATCTCACGATCTACTGGACCGATTTTAATGTTTTAGCTGCCATTTTGATCGCAAGATGCTTCTCTGTGACTTTAATTATAAGTTGAAAAAAAGGTTTACTTAGTAAAGAAAATATTTTTGTTAAAAATTTTCAAATTTAAAAATTCTAAAGACAAAAAACATATTTTCACTTTTTACTATGTTTTCACTGAATCTAAACATGTTCATAAACTTTGAACTGAACCTGAATGAACCTGAACTTTAAGTTCAGGCTCAGTTCAGGTTCATAAATTCAAAGTTCAGTTCAGGTTCAAGTTCAAAGATCTGCAAAATTTGTAGTTCAGGTTTATTAAACCTGAACTTGAACTGAACTGAACCTAGAAACCCTAACAGGTTTATTATTTTGCACCATAGGTATACAATATCATAGGTATCTATTTCTCAAAAACATACTAAGTAAACAGGATTGGGTACTTTAAGTAAAAATGTTTAGAGCCTCCCAAAACCTCATAGGAACTAAAATTGGAACCTTATATATAATATAATATATTATATATATATAAAAAATCTCTAAAATTGCACCCTAACCCTAATTAACACCAACAACACTATAGGTGCACAATATAATATTTGAATATATATATAAATATAAATAAATATATATAAATTATCAATAATATAAATAATAATTATAATTAAACTTACACTTACTACCTAATAATTTAGCAAGAACATTTATTAAAATATTTATTATTAAAAATAAAAATTATTAATTATTAAACAATAATTTTAATAATAATTATAATTAGGTTTATGCTTACTTGCTAATAATTTAACAAAAGCATTTATTAAAATATTTATTATTAGAAATAACAATAGAAAATTTCCAAGTATATATGCAATATATAATGCACCTAGTATTGCTGTTCGACATCATTTTACAATTTAGGTCAATTTTGAATTGACCTAAATCATTCTTAAATTTTCACCGATTTAGGAATAAATTGAGTTAATTCATAATGCAATACTACAAAGCTTTAGGATCTCACTATTTGCCGCTGAAGTGTGACCAATCTTTGGCATGACAAATAAGCACCTGCTGAATATACTTATATAAATATATTAGTTTGTGCTTATTTGTCACACAAAAATTGGTTACAACTGCCACCACTTTATCCACATACAAGAATAATAGAATCACAAGATTTTTGAAGAAATAATTGATGTTTTTTTTCATATTTATTCAACAAAGAATTTATTTAATTATATTGCTAAAAGTTTTACTGTAAGTCAAATTACATGTATAGAATATATTTACAATGGGCCATGTTACTTTCTCTACAACAATTTGTCTGATAGCTATTTTTTGGTAATATTTTTAAGAATATTATTAAAAAAATAGCTGTCTAACAATTGTTGTAGGGCAAGTGACATGAACCCATATTTATCCAAGTTTTTAAAAGCTATTTTGCTTGTTTCTTTAAAGTTCGATTTAATACTTCGAAGCCATTTTTCTGTTTAGGAAGATTATTAGATTTTTTAATACTGAAACAAAATTAATAAATATATTCAAACATGGAAATATAATGAAAAGTTTTTTTTATACTCATTAAGAGTTTTTTTCTATTTCTTAAAATTTCAGATTCAGATTCACTATTAGTACTTCAATTTCTTATTATTTATCAGATTGATCATTGAGTAATTGATTAAGGCTGATATTTGATTATTTTCTTATAAAGTTTTTTAGCTCTGTAACAAGAGAATATTGAGAATCCTATTGTATCTAAATTAATATAATATTAGATTTAGAAAAATTTTCAAACTATAATATATTGACAATGAACTTGTAAAAGCTTCATTCATCTAATTCTAACTATTAGAGAAATATTTACAACTATCTCAAAATCCATAGACATATTGCTTTTCCTTCAATATCTATAAGTTTTCATAAACTATATATTCAAGCCTTTTGAATCTTATAACATTTTCTTTTGCATGCGAATATTATTTAAAATTTGATTCTCACATTTCTGTTTTTTTGCTTTCATTATATGGATTGTATGCTCAAAACATGATTTATTATTTTAAAATAAAATTTTGGTTTCATAATTTGACAAAATAAACAAAATAGTATCTTATTTAGAAATATTATGATATTTAAGAAAATAAAATTTTCATTAAAAATTGTTATTATTCTTACATATATTGATCAAATATCATCATTATCATATTAATCATTAATTTTAATATTAGCAATAAACTTAAGCGTAAATGATTTAGGTTTGGCAAGTGGAAGGGGTTTATCAAAATTTAATAAGAATTAGAACTCAGAATTATTATTTTATTATACTACAAATGTATAAAATTTAGGACTCAGAATTATTAATTTATTATACTATGAATGTATTACATATATATGATATTTAATTAATGCAAAAGACGAAAAAAATCTTTCTTATTTTTATTAATTTATTATATAACAAATGAATTACATATATCATTTAATTAATGCAAAAGTAAAAGAAAAAAAATAAATAGTCTTCAAATTTATAATTTTAAATAAGTCTTTCCTATTTTTATTATTAATTTTTAAAAATAGAATGATACAACTTTCTGTTATGTGAAACCTTCGATTGAATATTAGAAACTTTTATTAGTCAAAGAAAAAACAATCATAGTTTAATAGATCAAAATAAATGCAATCAATGTTTAAATATACTTAAAAATTCAACTGACTTACAAAACCCAAATTTTAAATATTGGGTGATTCATAATTTTAAAATTATTTATGTTGGTACAACTGAAGAACTTCATATAATTAAGCCAGCTGAAAATAATCTTGAGACAAAAGTTTGTCCTATTGAAAATTTTTATAAAGTAATTTGTACTACACACCAAGTAATAGAACATGCTAGTTAAGACAAAATCTGTCAAAAAGTTTTTTTTTCTTTATTCTTTTTTTTTTCTTTTTGTTTTTTTTTACTTAATTTATAATTGCATTAAATGTGTGGTATTGTTTTATTCTGCAAAAGATAGTTGATAATGCTGTTTGTAAATGCAAAGTTCGCATTACAAGGTGAGCTTTTATAAAAATTTCACCCATCCGACCAATAATTTCTGAGAGATTTTTGCATCACATTCAGGTAAAAATAGTTATATATAATAGTTTTTTATTTTTTTTTAATAAAAAAATTATTTATAGATAGATACTATTGATATGATATCGACGCCTGATAGAATGTATAAATACATTTTTCATATTAGGGATCACTTTTCAAGAATTTCATATGCAGAACACTCGCCATCTAAGACAGCAGAAGAAGCTGTGGCATGCTTGCTTAATTTTTGCATAATGTACGGCCCTCCAATTGTATTATATTCTGATAATGGCAGTGAGTTTGTTAGAAGGATTATTAAAGAGATATTAAGTCTCTGGCCAACTATTAAATTTGTTAATGGTAGGCCCATTGCCAAGGAATGATAGAAAAGGAAATAGCATTCTTCAAACCAAATTAGGATCCTGAATAAAAGAAACAGGCCAAAATAATTAGAGTATAGGATTAAACTTGTTATTTGTATGTTATTTTTATTTTTTTTTATAGTTTCTTTTTACAATTTTTTTTACTTTTTTATTTTTAGATTTTTTTTATATTTTTTTTCTTTTTTTACAGTTTTTTATTTTTTATTAAGATTTTCATATTAGTTATGTAATCACACTACATTATTGATTCAATATATAAAACAAAGATTTCTTTTTTTTATTATAATAATTTTTTATTAGTTTTTTTTATTTTTATTTTTACTTATTTATTATTATTATCTTTTTTATTTATTTATCATCATTTATATAATCACTTTTATTTATTTTTTTATTTTTTTATTTTATTTTTTTTTAATATTGAGATGACCAATTAGGTCTCTGGCACTTTATTAGTTCAAATGGGTGGGCCATTATCCAAAGACTGGCTTATATATTATATCAGTATCATAAGAGTACAACTAGTCACACATACAACTTTTGGTTGTCTATTTAAGTAGTCTGCCCGAAGCGTTAGTGCTATGCTAAGGGTTCTACACTAGCTGTCATACCTATAGCCTAACTAGGAAGCTATCTATTTAAACTCTCTGGCTTCAACCAATATCACATATTTCATTCTAATATACCCAATAATAATTTACTGTAAAAAACTCTAAGACTTTAGCCAACAACAGAAGGCATTTATCCTTGTAGTAAACCCAACAGAGTGGTGACTGTCCCACATGGCCATTCACCTGCATGTTCAGTAATTTTTTTCCAATTAGTACATATTGACTGCCGCCATTGTGTTCGTATCTCATGGCACCTTTTGGGGTGCTCTATAACACAATCTGTATCTTAAGCCCAACTTTTCTAATTAGTCATCTATTATATACTCCTTGCCCTTACAAGGTTTACAGTAATCCCAGTCCCACATTCTAGCCATCTCTTTACCTGGTTTCTTTATTGGTTCATCTCTAACCTCTAGCCAGCAACTCAGATGGGTCAGTCTGCTCAGGCTTCAGGTGCCTGAAGGACGCCCTCCCCTTGGTCTATACTTTCATAGCATATGGCCTTTCCCTCCAGTGTATCAACTGGCGGTTCGGCTGGTGTGTCCCCTTACTAAAAAACCTGATCGCTTGGTTCTTCAATCTTGAGCCCCGGTTCAGATTCAACCTTCCTGTGAAACTGTTTAAAGTTACTACTACTCCTAATTCAGGACTTCCCAAATAAGTTCTCTGTAGTTTTACTAATCCCCAAGCTTTATGCGACCTAATTGGCTCCCAACTGGTTCTTTCAGATACAGGCATGTACCCTTGGTCTAGTGCCAAACAGACTCCCATGCATACATTGGTACAACTTAGATTACAGATCTTCAAATCTGATAATTACTACAAGTTACAGTAACACAGATCTATTTTTCTAAAATTTGTCATCTATGGAATTCAAACTCTAGATCTGCCACCTGGTAGAGTGATGACTAGACCACTTCACTAAGCCGCCATACTCATCACTTTTATTTAATATTATTTATATAATTATTTTTATTTAAATTTTTATTTTATCCTATTATTTTATTTATAGTTACTAATTTAATTAAAATTTATCATTATAATTGTTTAGGGGCCATGAATATTCAATATTGTAGTGTACATAATTCAATTCATATAAAGTGGTATTTGGACAGCTTTCTCATTGCGATACCAATTTAATAGATATATGCAAAAATGAAGAGTTATTTAATAATAATGCTTTAATATCTGAAGGCAAAACATTTAAATCAGAATTCTATAGTGATATAGAAGAAAATTAGAGCAATATAGATATAGATAAACTACAAAATATCACTGATCCATATGATCAAGATATTAGTAAACAAAATGATTCAGATGATCAAAACATTGACAATGATAGTGCACAAAAAATTTATAATGATTTATTATCATTATATTTAGAAACTAAAGAAGGTTTTAAAAACACACTAGCTTATAAACTTACCAAAATTATCAATTCAGATGATAATTTTAAATTTACCAAAAGTTCTAAAACTTACTAGCCTCTGAAGTTATTGAAATTATTGATTCAGATGATGATTTAAGTGAAACTCAATGTTATACTGTGAATAAAAAAAAAATAGCTAAATTATTTATTTAAAAAAATTTATTTAAAAATAAGTAAATAAGTATAAAAAATATTAATAGTAAATTTGAGGTGTGGAGACTTAGTGTAGTGGTCTAGTCATCACCTTTTCCAAATGGCAGGTCTAGAGTTCAAATCCCACTGGCAACGATTTTAAAAAATAGACCTGTATATGGTTGATAGCTTTCTATTAATTGAATATAGATTAATCTGTAATCTTGGTCACACCATCTAGTAATGAAAGCTTTGGTGCAATAAACCCAAGAGACTAGAATAACTGAAAAGCCGTTTGGCAAGTTTGAGTTCAGATGTAGTAGTGATCTATGACAGTATCACAGGAGGGCTGAATTCAAACCGGGGCCCAAGATCAGAGAACCGAGTGACCAGGTTCTAATAGTGGAGGACATACTAGCCGAACTGCCAGGTTGTTACACCAGAGGTAAAGGATATATACTCTGAAAGTATGGACCAGATGGAGAGCATCCTTCAAGCACCTAAAGCCTGGGCAGACCGACCCTTCCAAGTTGCTGGCTAGAAGTAAGGGAGAGACCGATAAAGAATCCAGATAAGAAGATAGTCTAAATGTGGGGTACTGGGATTGCTAGGAACCAAAACAAGAGCAAAGAGTATATAATGGATATCTAGTTAGAAAGGTTGGTGCTTGAGAAACATCCATAAAACGGTAGCACCCAAAAAGGTGGTATGAGATATGAATACAGAATAGTAGGTCAATATGTACTAATTAGGAAGAAGTTATAAAAACAAGCATGTGAATACATATGTAAGACATGTACTGCTATGTTAGGTTTATCTCGAGGATAGTTAAGTGTTCTAAAGTAGAAAGCGAAATCTAGATTGGGTGATATTCAAAATCCAGCATATGAATACTGAGGTAAACTACTGGGTTAGAGAACAAATGAAGGTAATTAGAACCAGATGGTTTAAATGGGTACCCCTCTAGTTGGGGTGCAGGTATGGCAGATAGTATAGAATCTTCGGGCAAACTACTTAAATTAGGCACTCAAAAAGTGCACATGTGGCTTGATGTACTATCATTGTAATTATATATAAAACTTTGTCTATACTCTAATAAAAAGTTTTTCAGCCCAAAGAGGTCACCTTAATACCAAAAAAAAAATTAATGATGAATTTTTTTTTTGTAGCCAAACTTAACCTGTCTATTTTTTGAAAAGCATGAAACAGTTTGTCAATTAGCAGTTTTAAATATAAAGAGAAACCATGAGCTTATATGAAGTAAAATGGAAGAAAAATATAAGGTTAAATGTAGTAGAATATTTGAGTCTGGTGAATTTATAAAAATTTGTATACCTGATAATTACAAGATTAAAATGAGTCAAAGATCCTTACCTTGCAAAGGATTTCAAAAAAAGCCTAATATTGACTTATATCAAGTTGCTTGCCAGTATAGGATAGTTGATAATTGGTTTCTAGCATGTGAACTTGAGCCACTTGGAACTTCTAATTATCCTTCTCTTAATGTATTTCTTTGAACAAAACTATTTCGTTATGACAAGCAAGCCTTAATCAAACAGATGAACTATTAAATTAATTATCAAACCAAAATAATAACAATGATGATATTTTTATTAAGTAAGTAATAATTTATATAAAATATATAATGTTACAATATGCTAATAATTATTTATAATAATTTAGCAATAATCAATTGCTTTAAAACTATTATTCTAATGCAAATAGTTGCCACTGCCAAAAAACCAAATGCTTTTCAAAGGCATGTTCTTGCTAAAAGAATAACTTGCTATATTCATAATGATGTGGGTGTGTTCTTCATGGTGATTGTAAGAATAGATAAGATTTTTTACAAATTTTATAGTGAATTTTTTATATGCTTTTATTGTACTTTTTTTTAAATTGTTATAATTTATGCAAATTTCTTTTTTATTTTTATATGTAAAATTTTATATGAATGCTTTTCAATATAATTAATATTTTTTATTGGGCATATAATTTTTAAAAGTAAGTTTGCATAGTAATGAAAAAAATAAAATAGCAAATTGAAAATTGATGATAATGCTTTTTTTTGAAAAGATTGTTACATTGAAAAAAATAGGATGTTAGAAAAAATGAGTCATCAAAAAAATGAGATGTTGAAAAAAATGGGACATCAAAAAAATGGAACGTCAGAAAAAATAGGAAAGAGGAGTTTTTTTTTTTTTGGATTGCTAGTTACCAATTAAGAAATAACTCAGGTCATTTCAAAATTTAAAAATGACTTAGGTCAATTTGAAATTGACCTAAATTGTGAAATGAATCAGAACATTGCCATCAAAATCAGGCACGTAATCGCTTTTTAAATTTTAATTTAAACACAAGAATAACTGAATTATGAGAATTTTAAAGAAATAATTGAAGTTTTTATACTTTATTATTTATTTATTTGTTCATATTATTTATCAAATTTAGGAATTTACTTAATTATCACTACGAATTACATTTGATTCGAATATTTAAAATGCATTTATACCCAAATTCAAGATTTTTTAAATACAGTACATGTACAAAGCTTTAAATTTGAACTTAATGCTACCAATAAATGGTGTTTTTTTACGTCCACTCCAAGTTTTTGGAAGCTTCTTTGCTCGTTTGAAATCTTAATGTCATCTACCATTTTTTTGAATAGGTTTAAAGTTCAATTCAATGCTTTGAAGCTATTTTTTTTTGCTTGGGAAGATTGTTAGACTTTTCAAAATAATCAAGCGCCTAAAACATAAAATTAATAAAAGATATTTATTTATGTAAATTCGAAAATATGATAATACCTCATGAAGGGTTTTTTATATTTTCTTAAAATTTCAGATTCGAATTCACTATTTTCAGTACTCGATATTTGGTTTTCTGTATTTACAATATCAATCGTTAAATTGACTTGTATTTGGTTAATTAAGGTTGATGATCGAATATTTTCCCATAAAGTTTCATTAGCTTCCATAATAAAAGGATCCTAATTAAAAATAATAGTTTTTTTAAATATATATATATAATAACAAACCTTCCGGAAAAATGATGCACCCATCTTCCCAAGAGGATTAACAAGATGTCATGGTCCCCTATTGCGTTGTTTACTTTTATCATCATTTTTATCCATCCTTTTTTCAAGCTCACAGCAACAATTGCAACAATACGTAAGCGAAATAGTCTTGATTTGTTATGCGTATTTCCCATTTTGTTATTTATTTATTATTATTATTATTAATCAAATGTCGTCATTAGTGTATCAAATAAATTAAGCTCCGGATTTACGTACCTGATCTTGGTGGCGATACTAGGGGGTTTACTAATTTCTCCCACACTTCCTATTGGACGAATACAAAGAACGTTTTCCATTGGACGAAACCAATTACATTACTAATCAAAAATTCCGCAATGATTACATATTGATTAAACTTTTTTTTTTATTAAATAATTCCTTTTGCTGTTTAATACTAACGTTTTGTGTTTTTCTTTTTTTAAAAAGTCCTTTTCGCTGTTTAACACTAACATTTTGCTCTTTTGAGTTTTAGCACTTCAAATTTTTTTAGTAAATAATTTCGTGTATACGATTAAACAAATTTCGCCAATTTTATCGAATATTACTGTAAGAATTTATTATACAGTCGATACTGTCTAATTGCATGCCATCCGCCAGAGACTTTTTCATGCATATAGACAGTATATGCATTTAAGTTATAAGAACCATTTTTGTGTTAATAGCTAAAAGCCAAAATTTTTTATGCAGTTAGAGAGTATATGCAATTAGACAGTATGCAATTAGACAGTAACGGCTGTATTATGTAAAAAAATTTTTAATTGAAATGCTTTAATCATATTGCTATACGAAAATCCGAAAACAAAACAAGTATTGATTTTTTTTTTTTTTCATGGTGTATGAAAATTTACTAATTATTTAGAAACTTAGCAGTAATATTTATTTTCAGTATTACTAATTAGCAAACTAGCACCTATTACAGTATTTGTATAAAGGTTTCTGTACGATTTCCGAAAGCTATTTCCCGAAAGAACATTATACTGGCTAATTATTTCTTTCAGGAAAATGGCTTTTGAGAACTTGAGTTACATTATTATTGTATTAGTATTAAACCAATTCTATTAATTAGCACTTTGTCGTAGCATTTTATTTATCTGTCAGTATCAACAAAAATGTACTTGAAACATTCAAATGTTCGTGTCAATTAATTTTTTTTAAAGTAAAAATCGCAAAAATCGCGGCCAAGAATATAGTTAAGAAATTTGGAAAAAGTTTTGGTTGCATTTTAAAATTACAAGCTTGTAAACGTATGTCTCAGCAAATTTTATTCACTTGAGAATAAAGTACCGAACAAAAACTTTATGAAAACTACTTATGTTTTAAATTCGATTTTTTTTTTTTTTTTTTTTTTTTTTTTTTTACTTGCAGAAAGAATTCTGGAAGTGCATAAATAAAATATTTTCGCTTAAAAAAATATTTTGAATATATATATATATATATATATATTTGAAGAAAATCTATGTTTTTTGATTTTGTGACGGTGCTAAGGTCTAAGGGCGCTGACATTTATTACGTAATATCCATTATAAGATCCAATATGATTGGCCAATTTAAAAAGAATTTAATTCCACCCACCCCCCTAAAATATTACGTAATAAATGTCAGTGTCCTAACCATTTGACTGTTTATCTGTGTTAACCGTTTAATCCAGTCGACGTTACAGCTGTTTTCATAAATTCTGGGACACCTAAAAATTTTCTCGTTTCCCGGAATCTTTTCGGTTTCGTCGGTAAATTATCTAGCTCTCTGGAAACTACATCGCTATTTTCGAACCTTCAGTCCGGAGACAGCGACGTAGTTTTCGGAGAGTTAGGTAATTTACCGGACGAAACCGAAAAGATTCCGGGAAACGAGAAAATTTTTAGGTGTCCCAGAATTTATGAAACAGCTGTAATATAATTTTGACTAATATAATTCAGCCGGAAACTGTGGAACAATATTTATGCAGTTCATTTTCAGGATGCTAAACCAGTTAAATGAACTGAATTAGTTCTGGTAATAATATATTTTTTGATTTATAATTGATTTCTAAACAGTTCCAGATGATTCGCTTTGAGTTTACGCTGTTTTCATAAATTATGGGACACTTGAAAAATTGTCTTTGTTTTAACTCGGTAATTTAAGTAACTTATCTTGAGAAATTTTTAGCTGTCTTAGAATTTAAAAAAACAGCTGTAAATTGGAAATAATAAACTGGGTAATTTTTTTATAGGAGATTGTAATCATTAAAATTAGGCAATATAATAGAATTAAATAATGTATAAGTTAATATCTAGTTAATAATAAATTGTCTGTAGTGATCATCAGGGCTATTAAAAGTGTGATTAATTGGCTAATTTAAATAATAAATTGGCAAATAAAGAACATAAAATAAGGAAATATTTGAATACGTCAGGTGCACAGACGATTAATACTATCGTCTAAAATTTCATAAACGAAAAGAATAATTAAGTATAACTAAATCTGTCACATGTTTGATATAAATATGGTGGCTAATTCTGATTAGAAGAATTTGATAGCAAAAAGGTCGGCTCGATTGACTGGCCTGAGCATTTTTTCCCAGCTAAGATTTTTCATCGCCCAAATCACGTAGAGTCACTATACCTTTTTGGATTAGATCTATCTCAAATAGATCATTGATTACCAAAGGTAGTAAGGTATAACAGGTATAATTTAAATTAGAACCCATGCACAGCCACAAATTCAAACAGATCTAAATCAACATACTAATTCAGACAGATGCATCTGTCCTTGTTTCATTAGGCAGAGTCTAGTCAATATATGACCAGCCTAACGATTAAAAGCTAACAAAAAGTACAGCAAGATTTTGCACACAGGTTGACTGTAAATCATATACTTCGTACTTCGTACTAATTCATCAATATATATATTTTATATACAGTTTCAGAAGAAATAAAAAATGCTTGCAAAAAATTAAAAAAAGAGTTAGAAAATTCCGTATCGGTATAATATAAGAAAACTTATTTATTTATTTTGCCTTATAAACCTTTTTACAAATTTATAAATTTGATATGTTCTCTATCAAAAAAAGACGATTGAGAATATCAAATTCCTTATTCTATAGATTTTTAACATCATTTCAATTATTTATGGTGCCGGCACACGTAAAAAATTATTTATACTAGTATTAGCAGCATTTCCGCTGAATATTATTACACCTTTAGTTGATAAATTACTCAACGTTTTGGCCATGGCTGCTGGGCTTTGGTTACCGTTTTTGGCAATAATAAGTGCAAGTGTACCAGCGACGTGCGGTGTTGCTTGGGAAGTGCCTGATTTTATGCTAGTATCTGTATTATTATTAATGCCTGCTCCTTCAACGTTTCTACCTGGCGCATAAATATCAACACATTTTCCAAAGTTGGAGAAATTTGTAAGGTCATCTGATGTGTCTTCTGTGGCTCCGACGGTGATTGCCGATGGTTCGGATGCTGGTGAAGTTTGACATGCATCTTTACCATTGTTTCCTGCTGCTACAACTACGTGGATTCCAGCTACTGTGAGTTTCTGGACTGCTGTATTAAACGCTGTTGAAAAATTTCCTCCAAGAGACATGCTAAAAATTTTTTTATAATTAACAATTAAATTCTTCAATATATATATATATATATATATATATATCGTAATTAATACATAATTAATACATACTTGACTACTGAATTTTTATTATTTCCACTGGTATGATTATCTTGAATGAACGATAGTCCATTGAGAATGCCGGAAACTGCACCACCACCATTAGCACCGAGAACTCCTATAGCAATAATATTTGCCTTCTTTGCGACGCCAAAAGTTTTACCCGCTGCAATCGCAGCAACATTGGTCCCGTGTCCATTTTCATCCTGATTATTACAACCAGCACAAAAAGAACCCCCAAATGTAGCGCGTCCTTCAAATTCTTGGTGAGTAATACGAACTCCACTAAATTTACAAAAAAAAAAAAAAATTATTAATTTTCTTTCAGTATTTAATATATTATGTAGAAAATTATCTTTTGTTTAAAAGAAAATTTTACTTACGTATCTACTATAAAAATATTAACACCTTGTCCTGCAGTATTAGGAAATATATATTGTCCATCTAAAGGAAATTTTGCTTGATCTATTCGATCCAAACCTTCAGGTGGTTGAAGTTGGGCATCACGTCGAATGACATGCTGAATTGTCATAATACAATCTTCTTCCACGATATCAACATCATTTCTTTGCTTTAATTCTTTGTCTACAAATACTTGAGTAAACCAACCACTATATCCATTAAACATTCCACTTTTAGCTGAAAAATCCTTTACACAATTTTTATTACTAAATGAACTAATACTTTTATCAATTTTTTCAATGCATCTACTTTGATTATTTTTTAACCATTGAAAATGTGCACTTTGAACTGATATACCATTCTTAAGTATAACGTTAAATAATTTAGTTTCATTCCCTGAATTTGAACTTTGTGCCACCGAATCAATCGAGGCGAATAAATAAATAAATACGGAAATAAAGATGATGTATTTTAGAAATTTCATTTTTTTTTCAAAAATTTATTGAAATAATGATTAATATGGAAATGAAATTAATGAATATATTATATATGCCTTCAAGGCACAGGAATTGTTATGGAATTAAAATTAATGAATGTATCTGTGCCTTCAAGGCCAGAAGGGAAGGGGAAAGAAAAAAATGTTGAAAAAAAATGGTTTGGGTCAAAGAACCAAATTTTCAACTTTGAAAGAATCGGTATGTATTTATCAGCTTTTTTTTTTTTACATTATCTACTTCCCCATATTTGGACATTCCTGTTTAGAATTATTATAATCCGACCCTGCAGGTTGAAATAAAATTTAATGGATCGACAGTATAGCCGACATCTACTAAACATTATATGATTGTCAAGTAACTTTGTTATAATAACGCTAACTTTATTACTATATTACTAACTTTGTAATGACCGATAATATTACGTACGTGCGTACGAACCAAATTTGTTACGATATGTGATGTATATCCTTGTAACATTTGACCTTTAATGCAAAGAGATTTTTCATAAAAGAAGTTTAAGTTAAAAAAGTTAAATGTACTTATGCACGTATGTACGTACGTACCAGAAATGGATGAAACAAAATTCATGATTATCGTTATACGAAGAAATCTGCGTGCATAATTGGTTACTCTTCCACATGCATTGTCTCTAAATTTTGTTATCTATATTTGTACCGTAATTATATATGTATGTACGTACTTACGCATTAAATAATCGTTAGTACGAAACTCAATAATTTTCAAGTTAGGATAATTATAATCTAACTAATACCTACATTTATCCTAAATCACAATGGAACTCTTTGTTTAAAATTATGATTTGATTCAAGTTTTTATTTTAACACAGCCTATACATTTATTGGCCTAATTTTGTACAAATATTTATTTTCTCCATTAATGTCATATTCGAATTTGACTTAGTTATGTTATTTGTAATTTACCTAAATTTTATAAATTTTTAACGAATTCATTATATTTAGAATTAAGTTTATATCAAAATTTTACATGTAGTCTTTTTGTTTTATATAATACTTTTCATTTTTGATCTTTAATAAATGTTTTTTTTAGGGTGTTCTCCTCAATTAAAGTTGTAGGTAGGGTTTTTTCGGATTTTAGGATTTTCGGACGATTGTGTCGCAATTTAATTTATTACCTCGGGAATTGTTAATGCTAGGGTAGTAGGATCGGGTGGATCAGATTCGTGTAATATGTGAGTTACATGAATGGTGTGATATAGATTTAATTAAAAGTTAAAATAGCCTTATAGTGATTGCATAGTAATCGATAACGATTAGTAATAATATATAAGGCATCGATTCTAAAGCGAAAATGCCTAACGTTTGCTTAGTGAATAAACGTTCTTAGTGATGAACCGTGATAATACAAGTAGGGTTCTGTAAGTAACGTTGTGAAGAGTTGTGAAGGGGAAAAATGTGGCTTGAAATAATTTTTTGGCGTAGTAAATCGAGGTGGGTTGGAAAAGATCTAACAGATCTGTTAGATCTGTCGGATATGTCAAATCTGTCAGATATGTTAGATACTGTTAGATATGTTATATATGTTATACCCGTCGGATATGTTATATCTGTTATATACGTTATATCTGTTGGATATGTTAGATAAGTTATGTATGTTATATATAATTAGCGAATTAGATTGTAGCTGAAAAATGTATATAAAGACCAAGAGTTCACCTTGAATAAAGTCAGTTATCAGTTATGACAAGTAATCGAAAGTAATTGCTAGTTATCAAAAGTAACATTTTGCGCATATAATTCATACACATTTGTTCTCCTAATTTCCCAATAACCTATCTTATAATCATGTGACCATAATTAGAGCTTTGTGATGTAGTCTAGAGCTCTATTTGGCCCTAATAACTCGGACAAGTCTTTCCACGCCTTCTTTCATGCCTACCACTATTAGGGTTCGATAGAGTCTAGTGGGTTCAGTGTGTTGATTTGATTAGTTTAGTTCAAAGATGGCGCTGAAACCTTTTTTGACGATTCTGAAAGCTTTGGGTTTTGGATTATAGCTTCCAAACCTTATCCGAAACTCAAAACCTCAACTGAAACCCAAAACCTTGACTGAAACCCAAGACCTCAAGCGAACCCCAAAACATCAATAATTTATTTGTTTATTCTCTCTAAATTGCGCCGAAATCCTTTTGTGTCAAATCCGAAAGTTTCGAGCTTCGGATTATAACTTCTGAAAGCTTATCCGAAACTCAAAACATCACCTGAAACTCGAAACCTCATTCAAAACCCGAACCTCACCTGAACGCCAAAAACTATCCAAACTTCTATATACATTAAATGCATTAATGTATTACATATCTCTTTTAATTATACATCAAATGTACTGATGTATGCTAGTATCTCTTCAATATACATTATTCGCACTGATGTATGTTATATATCTCCTTAAAGAATTTAATAAAATTTGAATATCCAGCGCTATTTAGGCTGGAATGCATCCAATAATTTATTGTATGCGTGCAGTCCTTTTTGTTGTTATGATTCACAAGTACAGAAAGGTATAATTCTGGAGTTTATATTCTGAAGCATCAGTTTTTTTTTTTACTTACTATGTAAAAACTGGGTACAGTATCAAGTAATAAATAAGTACGTCCATATCTACTAATGATATAATTGATAAGTTACTGCAGAGTTAAATTAATTGTTGGTATCAAAAAACAATATAGGCAATTTTTCTATCGTCCTAGAATTTTGAAATTAGTTGTAATGGCATTGATATTAAAAATAAAGTTGACCAGCTTTAAAAATACCCGAGTGAAAAAAAATTGACAAAAACATAATTAAAAAAATAATTTATATAATGTAATAATTTATTCAAAAATAATTTTACATTTTAGGTTCATTAAAAATAAGTCAACTTTACAATAAATTTTAAAAGCTTCAATATTATATTTTTGAGTTTCGGATTATAGGATTGGGTTTGGATTATAGTTTTGGAGTTTCGTTTTTTAAAAAAAAATCCGAAACTAGTTTCGGATTAGAACCCTCCCGAAACTAGTTTCGGGTAGGTTTCGTTTCGACGTCATCTTTGGTTTAGTCTTAGTTGATATCCGTGAGGACTATATTTCGAGATTCCATCTATTTTGCCCCTCACAATGTGCCGGGCACAATTGGCGTTATGCCAGGCACTGTTGGCACTGTTGGCACTGTGCCGGGCAGAAATACTGGTGCCCAAGTGCCTGTGATTATTTTTATGTGCCTTGAATTTTTGCAAGTGCCACAATTTTTTTCGCATATGCTAGTCTATACTATATGTTTTTTTTCACTTCACAACTAGGTTCATTTATCGAATAACGATATATGTCACCACCCTGCTTATTACCGTGGATAATAATATAACTGGTGTTATAGTATATCGTAATAAAAAAAAGAAGAGTTATATACCATAATCCCCTGCCTTACTATTTGTTATTCATGACCACCTTCATTATAATTTCCCGCATGCCCGGGAATCTTTCGTCCGGTCACGTAAAAACTATAATGAAGGTGGTCACGAATAACGTAAGGCAGGGGATTATTCATTTATTTCCTGTGAGGAGTTTAAAATTACAACAGAAAGGATTCCACGATGATCATATAATGCAGATGGCCCTTCGGGCCATCTGTATCCTATGATCATCGGGAATCTCTGTTGTAATTTTTAAGCTCCCAAGAAA